TTTGAGGGTCTTAAGTTGGCTGAAAGACTTCATGTTCCTTTCCTGTGTTAGAAAATGATGTTTTCTACACATTAATGCAGCTCTAGAGGGGGGATTTGAATCAGGCTGTGGAGCTACACTGCCAAAAAGGCTGTGGGTTATTCAGAATATTCCTCTTTCTCTCCTTTATATTTTTTTTACATCCCTCTCTCCGAGTCTCTTAATTTCTTCTTTTTCTCTCAGTTTCTGTAGATATTGTACCATACCCGACTCTCCTACCTCCTAAATTTAAAACACTTTCCTTTCCTTGTTATGGGTTTATTTCCCTATCAAAATGATACATTTGGAAGCCTCGTTTAACTTTTTAAAATTACTAATTTGTTTATGATGATAAGACTCACCTTAAAAATAGATTTCACTGGGTGGAAAAAGCTAAACAATTTCAAGCTGTTGTTAGGAGGAGGTTATTAAATTATCAGAGAAAAGAAATCTAAATTGTAGATTTCTCATAAATTTAAAACAAATAATTGAATTATTCAAAGCCAAGGTTTTATACCTGCTGTTTAGGGGAGAAAGGGTTCTGCATCCTTGAGCCCAATTTTTTTGGTGTTGTTATTCAAGGAAAAAAATAATTTTCTCAAATTCTATGACTAAAAATGTGTGTGCTCTGCAAACCTCTCTAAGAAAATATCTTAAGTGGTCTCCAGAAAATATGAAAGCAGTGGTGGCACTTTAATGTAAACCAACTGTCTTGAAAGCTAAATATCAAATAGTGCTGAAGTGAGATCAGTGTGTCATGTTCTTCCCAGTGAGATCACTCACATTTAATATTGTAGCTTTTCCATAAGGAACAGAGGGAGCACAGAATCCCAGAATGAGTCAGGGTTTGAAGGGACCACAGTGGGTCATTTGGTCCCACCTCCCTGCTCAGGAAGGGTCATCCCAGAGCGCAGGATTGTGTCCAGATGGGTCTGGAATACCTCCAGTGAGGAGACTCCACACCCTCTGGACAATCTGTTCAGGGCTGGGTCACTGCCCAGCAAAGAAGTTCTTCCCCATGTCCAGGTGGAACTTCCTGGGCATCAGTTCCTGCCCGTTCCTCTTGTGCCATTGCTGGGCCCCCCGAGCAGAGCCTGGTCCATCCTCTGCCCCCTCCCTGCAGCCCCTACAGACCTGGGGGAGGTCCCCTCTCAGGGTCTGCTCTGGAGGCTGAACAGCCCCAGCTCCCTCAGCCTTTCCTGCTCCCAGAGATGCTCCATCCCTTCAGCATCTCCGCAGGAGAATCATCTTCCAGCAGCTCCATGTCCCTGCTGTGCTGAGGAGCCCGAGCTGGACCCAGCCCTGCAGATGTGCCTCCCCAGGGCTGGGCAGAGGGGCAGGATCCCCTCCCTGACCTGCTGGGAACTCTCTTCCCGATGCCCTCCAGGATTCCTTTGGCCTTCAGAATCCTGCTTTTCAGTCCTGCCTAAGTGTGGGAAAAGCTTTGCTGGTGTGGGGCTGCTCTGGCAATGCCACAGCATTGGAGTGTGGCACTAGGAGTGTGGCACTAAAAGAAGCAGAAATGCCTCAGAAATGGCAGCAAAATGTGGAAATAACAGCTGAGTCCTTCAGCTCCACTGAAGCTCAGCTGGACTTTTGCCCCCCACTCCTGGAGGTTCATCCATTGCTTCACAGCAGCCTAATGTATTTCACCCCATGATTGTGTTGTCCCAAAATTGGAGGTTTTTTTGGACACTTGAGGGGAAAGAACAGAAATAAATCTTTGCAAAACTGTTGCCCTTTGAACCCAAAAAGATATTTTTGAATGTGGTTGTAAATAAATAAATACAGAAAATTAGATATTGAAAGGATCTGTAACAAGTAGTTTTTAAAAAGAGTCTTATTTTGACTTTTTGGTGATGCTGTCTGGAGGAGTCAGATTGACTTCATGTTTTTTTGGAAGTGCCTTGCTGAAGATTCTGCCCTCAAAGTGACCTTCACGCTCTTCCCAGAGTAATATTTTGGTCTGTGCCTTAGTAAAGACACATTGACTTCCTTTTTTCTTCTCAGGAAATTATGGCAATGCTTCCAAAGGGAATTAAAGCCTCCTTGATTTGAACTTTCTGCTGAATTTGAGTTTGGTTAATTAGTTTAATTTCATTTAGTAAAACGCATTATTCTTAATTTCCTGTCCTAACACATGATGCAGAGTTCACACGACAATACATAAAGAGTTGTGTTTCATACACAGGCAGGTGTGCTTTTGGAGCACTTAAGGTGGAAAATATTATATAAATACATATATATTTAAACAGAATAATATAAATAATTAATAACAATAATAGCAAATGTTTATACTTATCACTTTCCATTTTTATTTCTCATAGAAGGTATATCTGCTCCCAGAGTGGGGAGACTCTGAAAATAGATAAAGGGTTGTTTTCACTGACCAAACTTGGGAGTGGCTTTTCTGATAATGTAATATTGTAATATAATAATGAATAATGTAATCTAATGATCCCAATCCAGTTTTGATTCGTCATCAGTGACAATAAATGTTGATATTTCCATATCTGACATCACAGTTTCTTGGCTCCAGTTTTCATAATTTATATCCCAAGACTTTGACCAGTGTTGGAAGGTGTGATGGGTTCAAGGGTTGGAGATTGTTGCTCTGAGCAGCTTCTTTTGCTGCCCTCACTCTACATCAAGAAGGAAATGTAGAATATTTGATGGCCTAAACTGCCTTTCAGTGTTTGCTGGGACGTAACTTGTAAATATTTGTAAATTAAAAGAGGGAAAACGTCTAGTTTTGGTAGATTGGCCTGATTGTACCTTCAACAAAAGTGACCCAAAGCACAGAACAAGCAGCTGCTTCTGTACAAACACGTCTCAGAAATTGTGCTGCTAATTATGACACTGTTTGATGCCCTCCCCTCCTAAGTCATGCAGCAGGAGACCCTACCCAAACAGAACAAACCAGAGCAATTAAAACTGGGAAATGGGCCCACCCATCCAGTGCCAGGGAAACACCTTAATCCTGGATGGCTTCTGTGGGTTTCCAAACCACTGCCTTCGGTTTTCTTTCTTCGTGTGGACTCCAAGGGTTTGAGACAACGTCAGATTCGATTTTTATCTTCAATTTTGGCAGCCCAAGCAGTGTGAGGGGGAGTCCCCTCCAGAGGAGGCTGATAATGGCTGAGAGGAGGATGTGGTCAGTGCTGGAGCAGCAAAGGACACCCCATAGAGCCGTGTGGGTGTGCAGGGGGGAAGATGAGGTGAGGAAAGAAGGGTTAAACAGGGAAAGAGTGAGAGGTTTAAGACAACAAAGCCACATTTGCTGCACTGCAGAAGTGTTCTTGTCTTTTGATCTCTGTAGGAGGGTTTTGGTGAGACATTTTTTTATTCTTCCACTACTTGCCAATCAATTCCCTGGGAAAACATGGTGTTCAGCAAACCTGAAAATATCCACCTCCCCTTTCGGGATGTCAAGTTCCCTCAGCTGCAATTCAGAGATTTCAAGGTGGTTTCAGCTCATAAACAGCAATTTCCTCCTCGTCTCACCCGAAGGTGATGCAGATGTTTGAAATCTCTGTGACTGCTGCACATACCAGGAACACTAAACATTTCATCTTGATTTCTCTTCAGTACCACCTACTTCCTGGAAAATCTGGAAGCCTTGCACTTACCACTTCAAGTTCCTTTCAATTTTTTCTTTTTCTTTTTCTTTTTTTTTTTACCCTGCTCCATTTCTGTCTCACACGTTTATTATATGGTGACAAATGCAGTTTTCTTCTGCCACCACGTAATAGATGTGTGAAACACATACACATGTTCTAGTAAGAGACTGCTCTTTATTTCCTGGCTCCAGTTGCAAAACACAAGTCAGGGTTGGAAAGGTTGTGCCTCTGGCAGAGCTGTGTGATCCATATCTTCAAACTTTTCTGGGTTTTGCTGGAGTCGTGGGAAAAAATGGCAAATCTCGTTCCTGTATCTCTATATTTTTATATTCTTATACTTCTTATATTTCTACATCAGTGTTTTCTCCCCAAGCACGTCATTTTTTCATTTTTTAATCACCATTCCCTTGTATTGATTATATTTACTCATTTCAGACATTGATGTTGCTATTGACATTAAAAAAATACCTTCTAAAACAAGTGTACCAGCACTCTGATTGTGGGAAACACACCAATTTTAGAGATAAAACATCCTCCTGTTACTCTGGCTTTAATGCAAAGAACAAACATCACTTTATGAGTCCATTTGCTGCAAATTCCAAGCACTGTTTTCTCTGCACCAAGCGATTGATGATGTTGTGCTGTGTAATTGTGGGTAAGGACCAAACAGCATCTCCACAAGGCTCCTGTGACACAACATGCCTTATTTACACATATCCCAGCTTTTGGGGTTCTGTACATTCCTGGGGTGTGTAGGGGGCCTCAGTGAAACACAGAATCAGACAGATCCTCTGTGAGCTAAAGCGGAACAAGCCCCACGTTACAAGTTAAACCAAAAACAAGCAAACAAGCAAGAAAAAAATAAAAAAAGCGACAACCAAACACATCATCACTTCCTACCGGATCCAAACAGCCTGGGAATGCCACGTGGCAGGCAGTTATTCTGGAGTTACCCACGGGGGATTGGAAGCAGCAGGACTGTGGTGCTTCCATGTTAATCATAAACAGAGTTTAGTGTTGAATTTTTTGTTTTTTTTTTTTTCTAAGCAATTTTATCCCACAAGGTCCTAGTGGTTGAGTTGCTCCTGCAATAGAATGGCAGGTCACCGGCTGAAAGATTTAGAAAATGAGAAATGCTATCCCATTTTCCAAACAGAGCAGGAACAACGCTAATTCCATCAGGCAAGGTGGAACAGACAATTAAACTGGGCATGCTTTTAATTTTGGAGCTAACCAGATAACAGATGCCTTTTTCAAATGGATTGACTGTTGAAGTGATTCCTTTAAAGTGAAGCAAAACCCCACTGATTTTCCTTGCTAAAATGAAAGCATTTACCTTATACAAAGTATAAGAAATGTTACCTGTTGCCTCCACCATTCCTTCTAGGATTACAACAATTTCTAGCTCCTCTTTGGGCAACTGGGCTTTGGAAATCTCCCAGAAAGGACTCTGCTGGTTAATCTCATGGCTGATGATCAGTGGTGAAACCAAAAAGAGACGATCATCCCCTGTGTAATAACCTACGTTGATATCTGTCTGGTTGAGTGGTATAAATTCCCCCTCCTTTGTCTGTTTGGATTTGATCAACTTGGCTCGTATTGATGCCTCTACAATGTGGGAATTCCTAAGGTCTCCTACTCGGAACATCAGACACAGCTTCCCATCCCGCATGGAAATGACTGCGTTTGTGGAGAACACCAAGGTTTCTGCCCTCTTCTTGGGTTGGGATATTTTCACAAACATGCAGCCAACCATGAAAGCGTTGACGATAGAACCTAAAACCGACTGCACTAAGAGCAGGATAATCCCCTCGGGACACTTGTCCGTGATGACCCGGTAACCATACCCAATGGTGGTTTCGGTCTCGATTGAGAATAAAAAGGCTGAGACAAACCCATTGAGGTTGCTGACGCAGGGGGTCCACGTGCTGTCCCCTATGTGATCCATATCTCCTCTCATGTAGGCAATCAGCCACCAGATCATTCCAAAGAACAGCCAGGTCACAGTGTAAACCATGACAAAGATCAACAGGTTGAACCTCCACTTGAGATCCACCAGGGTGGTGAAGATGTCCGTCAGGTAACGGTAGGTCTCTCTGACGTTCCCGTGGTGGACGTTGCACTTCCCATCTTTCCTAACGTACCTCTGGATTTTCCTCTTGGCACATTCTTTGTTCAGGTGTTTTGGCAGATCCTCTCTAGCTTGTTTGGGCAACTTTGGTTGATGAATAGTGACAGGGCTCTCTATGTCCTGCTCCATTGAGTCTTCTTCCAGGACGTTGGCTGCCGTGGAAAACAAACAAACAAGGAAAAAGCAGGCATTATTTTTCCTTATTATTTCTCTAAGTCAACACACGACTTCTTCCTGTATTACTACAGGCATGAAATTGCTATTAATCAATAAAATTATCATCCTTTTTGTTTTCTAACCTATTAGATGCACAACACAAATGACATCAAACATCCTCAGGTGATTGCCGAACAGAAATACAATGAAGGCAAACTTCTGTTTCCTATCTATCAGCTCATCCTGATGTTTAAATTCCATCCATCCATACTTAACTGCTGCAAGAATTAAGCAGATATTCCTGCCCCCCTTTGCAGTTTAATGAATGAGGTTTCTTATGCACCAAGAAAGATCTGAAGGAGATAACAGATAGAAATGAGGAAATGGATTCACTTGGGGGTGAGCAGAGAAAATGAGCCATTGTTGAGCTATTTTTTCCCATCAATTGCATTGCTGAGGGGAAAGTATTAAATAAGCACTGAGAGTTTAAAAAAAAAAGCCAACAAATTTCAGAAAGACCCAATCCTACTCTTGTTGAAGGAAAGTTGGGCTACAGTGTAATTTATTCCAAGAGCAATTCAAGCACACTTCCATAGAAAATCAATGTCTTGCTGATAACAAGACAGGGAATTGTGTGTCCTTCTCCCAGCAAATGTAAAACCTACAGTACTTCAGATTTCATTTGAATTCTATAAGCCTGAGGCCTTTATTGAGTGTACCTTGTCCTCTAATGGTATGGACCTAAACACCATTCCCCTGTGAGAGTCTTACAAGAATTTAACCCCCAAAAATGACAGAAACTGATTTTTTTGTATTATTTTCCCAGCATTTTGGGATAAATAGCTTCATTTCATTTATGCGCAAGAAAAAAAATAAGTTTACTGAGGAGGAGAGTGCTTTCATCAAATGTGTTTTGCAAGAAGCTGAGGGTATGGTGAAGTCTGGGGGTAATTTTTGGCTTTTACTGGAAATCCTTCTGCCTTCTGGGGCTTCTTCCTGCTGGAATTTCAGCTCTTGAGGTCCTTATTCTCTCCCTTCTGAGTAACTGTTGTCATTCATCTGCCAGACTGTAAGGGGAAAAGTCTTCTGCTGGCTCTACCTGACTGTTAAGCTCTGAATACAGAATCACAGAATGGTTTGGGTGGGAAAGGACCTTAAAGATCATCCAATGCCACCCCCTGCCATGGGCAGGGACACCTTCCACTATCCCAGGTTGCTCCAAGCCCCGTCCAGCCTGGCCTTGGACACTTCCAGGGATGCAGGGGCAGCCACAGCTTCTCTGGGCAACCTGTGCCAGGGCCTCCCCACCCTCACAGGGAGGAATTTCTTCCCAACATCTGTTCTAAAGAGCAGCAGTGATGTGCTGTTGTACCATTGCCTCATGGAGGGGCTGCTCTTGGTGGGTCAGTGCGGCTCAAAGAGCATTTTACTCTCTCTTACAAACACGTGTTACGAGGTAGATCATCTGTAGGGGAGTCTCTTGGCACCTGTAGCTTTTTCAAGATGCTCAGGCTCATTCCTGCAGAGAAAGATCACAAACCCTTGTGAAATTTTAGGGGTGACTGGAATACCCAGGGGGAAATAAGTGTTGTCTCTCCTTCTGGCCTGTCCCCCTGCCAGCCAAGCCTACCTTCAGCCCCATCACATCTCTCTGTTCAAGGAAAGGCTCCAAGGCCGACATCAGCATGGAAACCTGAGAGCAATTCTGGGTTTTAAGACTGGGAGCCCCACCCTGTGTCACCTTTTCAGCTTATGCTGTGTCTAAGGAGAGCATTATTGAGGCTGAAGGCAGTGGCAGCACTGGAAGTCGTGTCACGGGGCCGTCAGTCCCGAGAGAACTCGCCCCAGTGGGTGACAGGGTGCCTCCTTGCATTATCACTAATGCTGGATAATGCATGACAAAAACACAATAAAAAGGCATCGCAGGGACCTGGTGAGGCAGACTTAAGCCAAAGCCAGAAAATTTGAAGTTAAGGCTTCACACTTTATGCTGAACTCTCCATTGTGCCTAAGGAGATTTCAGTCCACAGGAGTTATCACATCACTGCAGCAACAGACCCCTCAAATAATTATGAACAGCCTACGAAGGCTCTGGCTTTTGAGGCTTTATGTTAGGCTAGTAATGCTGGTATAATGTAGTTAATTATTTTTAAGGCATTATGAATAATTTGCTTTCCCCCCTGGTTACAGAGACAAGGAGAACACAGAGACAAGGTTTCCTAGAATTCCAGAATATGCTGAGTTGGAAGGGACCCACAAGGATCACCGAGTCCAACCCTTAGCCCTGCACAGGACCATCCCCAAGAGTCACACCATGTGCCTGAAAGTATCATCCAAACACTTCTGGAGCTCTGGCAGGCTTAGGAATGTCCTCTTGCTTTTGAAAATATACCTTACTCCTGAACTTGCTATTAAAGGTAACCATGTCCTAGACTTCCCTACCTGAGCATCTCTTACCAGAAAGTACATTAAAGGCCCAGCAGGGCTGATTTTATTCCTGGGATCAGGAGAAATCTGAAGGCACACCCCCTTCCAGGGATGCCCACCTGCCACAGCATCACTGCTTTCATACAGTGCTTATTTCCTGTAGAAATACTTAAGAGCAGTGAAGCACCTTTTATTCATAAACCGAATTTTATTCACGCTTTCCAAAATGTTTTGGGTTGACTGAGCCCTTGTGCATCATAACCAGCCTGCCCTGACTTTCACAGCACATCAGCTGACCCCCAAAGAGAGGGACAGCCAAACCCAGGGACTCCTGTGTTTAACCAAAATCTCTCCTTACAGCATTCACATGCAGACACCTGGGTCTTCCTGGGGGGCATTTGGCCCTTTTGCAAACTCTCCAGGCTCTTCCCAGTGCTGTCATTTCCCAGCTCCCAGGCAGCCTCTGAGAGGAAAAATTAAGGTCAAGTTTTCAGTCTTTTTCTCTTTTTGCAAGACGCCCTTTTACTCTTCCCCTCACCCAAATTCTGCCGCCACGAGACCCCATAAATTCCTTTATGGGGAGGTTTCTAGATCAGAACCACTCTCTCCTGGGCCAAGTCCGTGCTCCAGACTGAACCTTGGGAACAGCAATTCCCGAAATAAGCGATCCAAAGATTCTGCATCTGTGTGTTTCCATGGAAATGCTTGATGAATAAGTTTTGGAACACATGGCAGGATCCCTGTTCCCCACTAAGGCTGAGGAACAGCCACATATTGTCGAGCGCCTTCACCACAAAATACTTTGACTTAATTATATTTTTACTTGATAGCAACCCAATTAGCTTCTGCTGTTTATTTCATCTGATTTTCCTTTTTGGTTATATAATGGCTGTCATGGTTCCAAGGAACAGGGGAGTGAATAGCAGCAGTCTCACTTGAGAGCTATTTTTACTCTCTCTCTCTGCTTTTCTTCACGACAAAAATATCTACATATTATTAATCTGCGCTGCAAAAAGGATTAAAAAAAAAAGGTATTTCTCAATATTTCCTCCTCTCCCAGTAAACATTATGTTTGTTTCAACACAATGGCCAGGTAGCAAAAAATGTGCTAATTTAGGCCAGTTTAGAGTAGTCTGGTTTGGTTGGTCTCTTAGGCAAATACACACAAGACATAAGAGATTTCAGTGAGTTCTTTAATTTTCCAGCAAATGACAGGGAGTTCTCCTAAATAAGTCCCTGAATAGTTCACTTGTGTACTGGCTGTGGCTTTATTAGCAAATTAAATGTGCCCAGGACCGTTTTTTAGCAGGGAGGTTGAATGGAGTGGGACAGCCCACGCTTGTATGTGGCTGAACTCTGCTCTTTCCAGGTTAAATCTCACACAATCTGCCTTTCAGGAATAACCTGTGTCCCATGCTAACACCTGAAATGTAGCCAGGAATTCTGTGTACTGGCCAAAACCATGCCAGGGGCTTTTCTAGGGATTTTACCACACAGGGAGTCGTGTGCCAGTGCTCAGGAACATTTTATTTCCTATTAAAATTGCAACCAGTGTTGTTGTCCTGGTCTTGTTTCTTCCAGAGCAGCATTAGAAAGGCACGATCCAGGGTTTCCAAGCACATATTTTTTAATTAGAGTCAGTAGAATAACACAAAACCAGTGCCAACAACAAAATAGGAGCTGTACAGGACGTGCTCTCATGACTTTTGAGGCTGTGAATGTAACACATCACTGTAATCCTCAAGCAATCATTTCATCATTAATGTGATTATTGTTGTGCTTCAGAAAGGTTGTCATGGTACAAATGCTCGTGCATGTACAAATATTTTACAAACACAAAGCAAAAAAAGGTATGAAAAGGGGCCTCTTGCCCAATTTAAAGACTGGAAGTCTGTTTTGATTGCCTGCTTTATTAGAGTTCTGGTATGATCTCCAAAATAATTAGGAGTTTCAACAGAGAATATTACAAATTATAACTGACCTTTTTGTGACACCAGCTGATCTAGAGAGCTCAGTGGATGTCTCACTGTAATTTAGTAATTTTATGTCTTGTAACACAGTTGGGAAGGTTTTATATGCAAATTCATTGAAAATGCCTCGATTTCAAAAATCATTTATAACCTGAAAATTACTCTCATTGGCTTTTGTCCACGTATATAAATGTGGAACAGACATTGTTTTGACTGTGATTCCTGTCATTCCCCACTTTCCTGGTAGGATGAGGGCAACTTTTAAGTTAAGCAGGAGCTTGGAAGGTCCAAGATTTCCTTTTTATGAGGGATCTTCACCTCTCATTTGCTGTGCCCACAAACCCCCCTGGCACTGCACCCACCTGGGGAATATTTGGCAGCACCAGGTGGCAATTTTTGTTCCCTGTCTTGTTTGCAGGAAAAAAGTGGAGCCTTTTATGACCTTCTACCAACTGTAAGCAGTCATTATTACAGAGAACAGATCTGGTTTTTTTTCTGGAAAAGAAAGGAATTAGGAGCTGATCCTGCCCTGGTGAAATCACTGCAGGATTGTCCATTCACTCAGCTGAAAGCTTTGCTAGTGCTCATTGGGATGTTCA